AAGGGCTCTATTAAAGGGTACTTGGGAGGTTGCGGATAAACCCTACACCCCTAAACCAGCAAAACCCTAAACTCTCTAAACCCTAGCCCCTACACCCCTAAAAATAAACAAAACCCTCAACTCTGAACCCTAAGATATAAACCCTAAACCTCTAAAAAAAAACAAGCAAAACCCTCAACCTGGGCAAGAAGGCTTCCCTAAGGGTCCAAGTACCTACTAATCATATGTACTCTTCTGAATATACTGACCTACAAAAACTACTATCCCTAACCCAAGTACATGATTATTAGGTCTTTTGGACCCAAAGGGTTAGATACCTTGAACCCTTAAACTCTAAACCCTAAACCCTAAACCCTAAAACTCCCTTTAAAGGATCCCTAACCCCTTAGCAAGAATCCAGTAACCCCTTATTAGGTCCTTTGGGGGCTTTGAGAGGAAGGTGTGGAAGACCGGGGTCTCGGGCTTCAGGCCTTTGGAGGGCCTTTGGAGTCTAGAACTTTGGGCTTACTTGAGGTTTGAGGCTTAGGGGTTTAGGGCGTTTCGGGGTTTAGGGCGTGAGGGGTTTAGGGGGTTTAGTGGTTTAGGGGTTTAAGGTTTGGGGGTTTAGGGGTTTAGGGTTTGGGGGTTTAGGGGTTTAGGGTTTGGGGGTTTAGGGATCATGGGACTTAGTAAGACAGGCATACGCACCGTCATCTTGATTATACTCAGTTCTACAGTACAATTCCCTGACTCATCATAACCCTAGCTGCGACTAAGTCCCAGATCCTTTAAGCGGGGTTGTGGGGCCTAGAGTTTGGTCATTTTTGGACCATACCCCGAAATCCTAAACCCTAAGTCGATACCCCATATTCGCCTTGATGCTCCGTCCTTCTGCCCCCAAGGCTCCGAGGGAACGTAGTCGAAGGGTTTAAGGGCTTATCGGTTTCGGGCTTAGAGTTAGGGGTCCATGTGCCCAAATAGTATATAGGTAGCGTTGGATCCCTAGGCTTGTGCTTTGCTGGGCTCTTGTTGCCAGATAACTACTTGAAACACGCTCGTCGAATCATGAAATTAAATTGTTTGAAAAATCGGGACACTCTGAACAAAAAACTCAAGATACCCATCATCTTCAAACTCATGCAGGTCCACAGGCTAGCTGAAGTCGGTCTTTCATCGAAAAGACGGCGGTTGTCGTAACCCTTCAGGAGCCACGGCACCAGAAAACAAAACAACCCTAAAACCCTAAACCCTTAAACCCTAAACCCTAAACCCTAAACCCCTAACCCCCTAAACCCCTAAACCCCTAAACCCTAAACCCTAAACCCCTAAACCCCCACAACCCCAAAACCCCCAAAACCCCAAAACTCCTAAACCCCTAAACCCTAAACCCCAAAACGAACCCTAACCCCCAAAACCCCTAAACCCTAAACCCGATTTCTTCCGGGGCATCGGACCCGGCTTTCCACTTCGTCGAGTACCGTGTCGAGTTGAGCCTGCCCCAAGGCTCCCGAGAGGGTCATGGGCTTTCCAGGGTTTAGGGTTTAGGCTTTAGGGTCTAGGCTAGGGTTTAGGGTTTAATGGGCTTTCTAGCCTTGGGGGCTAGTTGAAGGTTTAAGGTTTAGGTTTGGGGTAAGGATCATGGGACTTGGAAAATCGGGTTATGAACAAGGTAATTTTACTTGCAACTATACTACAATCCTTCAAGCACTTACATCCTTGCTTACTAAGTCCCATGATCCTCCAAGTGAGGTTTGGGATCTCACTACGAGGGTGCAGGAGTCTTAGGGTGGAGGGAAGCTCGGTGGAGGGTTCAGGGTTTAGGGTCTGGGGTTTAGGGCTCAGGGTTTAAGGCCGGTTTAGGGTTTAGGGCTATATAAAGAATCAAGAGATTTACTTATCTCTCGACCCATATAACCTACTGACAAAGTCCGGTGGATCCTAACACAGTAGCATTGCGTAGAAATAAGCGTAGAAATAGTATCAGATTGTGGTGGTGGCGCGGACCCATCGGTCCAAGGCACCACCCTCTGAGTTCAAGGGTGATAAGTCTTCTTATTGTCATGTCCGGGATGCCCGGCTCCATCCTCGGAGCTCAAAGTTGATGAGTGTTCTGATTTCAAGATCAGGGGCCTTATTGGTTTGCATGCGAGGGGGTGCGGCAACCACGCCAAGACATGCAACATCACATCGCGACAAAGAACTTGTGCGCACCACTAAAAGACAAAACGCACTGCGACAGGACCTGCTTCCGTCGCATAACTTTTTGTTTCCCCAGTGGCAATCTGCAAGGCATGGCGATTGCCGGTGTGGTGGTGAGACTGTAGCAGGCTCAGCAGGCTCGCCGCCTTCTGTCTGCGATGATTGAAACCACTTTGCGGAACTCATTGTCTTCTCTATGCCTCTCCATCGCCCGAGCTCGGGGCTCCCTTGCCAGCTGGAGATCTCGCAAGGTCGTCGTTCGCCGCTGGCTGAGCCGATTTGCGTCAGAGAATCTGGCCTGCAAAAAGTCCTCCGCCATGTGATGCAAAAGGCCGATAGCAGTTTTGGGGAATTCCGGGACCGGCAGGCATCGTTTCTTGCTGGGCCATCCTCGTCTTCTCTTGCCCTCTCCTCTTCCTCCTCTTCAGGCTTCACCTTCATCATCTGATCCAAGTCTGCCTCTAAGGCAGCAGTCACCTCTGCGGCGACATCCTTGAAGAGTCTCTGGAATGCTGCACGCGGGATTTGGAACTCTTTCTGTAGCCGTCACCACTGCTACGAGAGGCCATGGTGTAGCTCTCGCCAGTTCTTGTGAAGCTTGCGCCGGACGACGCAGGATCCGGCCCATGCCAGGAATTTGTGAGACGTTCCTCGCCTCACAAACGTCGACTGGATGAACCGGGGCTCCACAAACACTTCCAAGCATTCCTTGCCCGCAGCAAGCACCCCAGCCACAACTCTCTACCAAACAGCCCTGGAATAAACGCAAAGAATGCTGCTTTCGGCGGTTTCGCACAGCCACAAGCGCCGAATAAGCTTCCTTTGGGTTTTATTGTCACCTACTCGAAACCGATATTTGCTTCCCGTTCTGACAAGGAATAAATGCAAAGAGCGCTGCTTTTGTGGTTTGACACCGCCAAACGCACAAAACAAGCTTCCTTTGGTTATTGCCACCCCTATACTCGAACCCTGATTTGCTTTCCGCTTCATGCCAAATCAACACAAGCAGGAAGCTGTAGTTCATGACGTCCACTTTGAAAGTCCAATCTGCTGCTGTAAATATGCCGTCCAATCGGGCGGTCTGCTTCAGTCGCACCAGCTCAAGCATGAATGGCGTGAGAACCGCTGCCCAACAGAAAATGTTGAGTGTCCACCGTGCAAGATAGATAGGCTTGCTGTCCACATTGGCCCATCTTTCGGCTTCCTCGGTAAAATCCGATTCGCTGGCACGAAATGTAGCAGTGCAATCGCCATGCTGTTCTCGTCTCCAGCGAAGGACGGACCGAACCTGAGCTGCGTCCAGAGGTGGGTCGCCCATCCTCTGTATCACTGCTGCTGGACCAGGCTGCATGTAATCTTGGAGCAGACTGTCAACGGCTGCATGAATGCGTCGCCGGTCCTCTGTTGAGATAGCAGGCACCTCCTTCGACGAGGCTGCAGATTCTCGGTACGTACGAACCTCTCGATTTGCAGGGCACTCGCCAGCTTGCTGCACCCGCAAGCAGTAAAAGTGATTCTGGGCTATGTGGCCTTCGAAACGGAAACGGACCCCTCGTTAGCATGGCACAACTCATGCTTGAAGCATCTTGCCGTGCAAGAGAAGGCGGGTTCAGCTGCCTGGCATCGGTTTGGTTGCGAGTAACTTCCAAAGAGTCTTGCCAGCGCCCTGAGCCCAACGACCTGCGGCCGGACGAAGAAGATCTTCCGGGAGCTCCGAATCCGACCCATTCGATTTGAGATCTTTGACTGTGTTAGAATCACATCGTCGCAAGGAGAGTAGTCGAGTTGCCGTCGACGCGACCGAGCCATGCCACCGTCTAACTCTATGCTCGGATTTAGATCTGATACTGATAGTACATGTGCCTGCACCTGGTCACGGATCATGGTCTGATGCTGCATGTACTTGCTCGTGGTGATGAACTTGCTGCCGCTGACAACTGCCCAGGCATATGTGTGCTACTTCAAGCAGGCAGTGAACTCAAAACAACTCAAAACGACATGCACCGATGCAGAGTCCGTGCCGCACAGTCGAGAGGAATGATGCAATAATAGAAAGTGGAAGTGATAGCATCATGACGTGAAGTCTTGAGAAGTCATGCTCTGAACAAGTCAAGATGAAAGCTCCAAGAGCATATATGCAACATTACGTCCGGCCTAGATGCAGAATTACGTCGGACACCATGAGCTGCCATGGTGAACTCCTGTAACCGAGATGCTGTATGCAGAAAGCTTGTTGATGGACATCAAGAACTTGTTATGGTAACAACACCCTGTATATTGGTTTGATGGGCGCCCCCATCAGTGCACGGCCCGTCAGTCCACGGCTCCACCCTCGGAGTTCAAGGGTGATAAAAGTTCTGATTTTAAGACCAGTGGTAAGAAATCGCTAAAGTTTTGAGGTGTATGATCGCCTCTAGTTATATAACGCTTGCACGAGTGTCCCATATTCTTTTCACTTGGCGTCGCTCGGCGCTCGGCATCGCTCGGCGCTCGGCGTCACTCCCTTTTCTCAAACCCTGTAAAACCCTAAGGGTCCATGTACCCAAATAGACACACTTTGGCCTTAAAGTAGTCTCTATTTGGGTACTTTGGGGCCCAGGTATATGCTATTTGGGTACATGGACTCTCAGAGTAATTAAAGCCTGACCTCAAAGCCAAAACCTCAATAAACCCATGGATCCATTGCACTGGTTATGCTGAACTAGGTTCCTGAGTAGCCACTTAATAGTAGGGGTACCCTTTTTCCTAATATTCGGCTTTAAGGAGGAGACCCGAAAATAAAAAGGGCAAAAGGGTACTACTCGGGAACCTAGTGAACCAAAGGAGAGCTGTGGAGCTCAGGATCTATAGGGTCAGCATGTGGGTGTTGGGCTTAGCATCATGGTGCTTAGAAGAATCCACATGCTTTAGACTTGCTTCTAGAAGTTTAGGCGTATCAGGGTTTAGGGTGTAGGGCTATTAGGGGCTGGGATACCCAGATACGCGACCCTTAACTACGGCATAACTACTGTAATGGTTGGGGCTTGGGTTAACAAGTAGAATTGCAAAAACCCTGACTAGGGTCGTCCCTTTTCCAATTCTGTCTAAGTTAAGGGTCCTAACAGTCCCAACACTTCTGGGAGCATCAAATGTAGGATTTCTGAGACTCAGAAGACACCAAAGGGCTCTCCTATTCCGGACCCCCTCAGGAGATACCTGGACCCTTAGGGTAGCCTCTAAGCAAGCTTCCTGCTAGGTCCCATGGTGAGGTTTACGATATAAAGTAAGTACCTGGTCAGAAGTATTGCCAAAGGGTCCTAAATACCTTACGGGGGATAGTTGCGCAAACCCTAATAATTCACAATTCCTACGATAATGAAGCCTACTTAGTTTCTACTTCGCAGGCACTTAGGACCGACAGACTCGGGGGGGAGGAGCCCGCTAACGTTCTATAAACCCCGACAAGCAAGGAGAATCTGGCCATCCGAAAAGCAACAGATCCAACTAAACTACAAAGGACCATTTTGGCGGATTTTGGAGGAGAGGTCAGGTTGGCCTTTCCGCCACCCGAAGGGACAGAGATCATGGCTTGGTCAAGGATTGATTCTTCAACCTTCCAGGATCTTTCCAGAATCTTTCTTCCCTGACACTGCAGCAATGTCATTGCTACGGTTGATGGTAGAAATCCTGCATTACCCACAATAGGGAATGTACCCTATTTCCCATAGTTCTAGGGTCCTTAAGGTAATGCAGGATTTTTATATCATCAACCGTAATGTCCACTGCTTGCGCCAGCAGCAGAAGCCATTTTGAGTATCGGCTCCGTGGCTGCGCAGCTTTGCTCTGCTCGTTTTTGTCCCTCCTCTGCCCATGGGAACCCTAAACCCTAACCTCAAACTACCAAACCCTACTTTTTTGTAGGTTCTTATTATAAACCGCAATATGGAATTTATAGGGACCCTACCAAAAAGTAGGTTTTGGTAGTTTAAGGAAATTACTAAACCCTAGTGGTTCTGCAACCAGTTGCTTGATGTAGCACTGCTTTTTCGGGTGGAGTCTCCCTGTACTGTGAAGTGACGGCCTGACGGCTATTGAGGTTTAGGGTTGAAGGTTTGGATCTTGCCTTCCATTTCTCGGCGGTGCCTGCGGCTGTTCTCGCAATGGGAGCTGAAGCCTGAAAACCTGGACAAGCCCTTGAACACACTTCTTCGAAAATTCTGAACAAAGCCTGAACCATAAACGTAAACCCGAAAAAGCCTGAACCATAAACCCTAACCCCTCAAACCATAAACCCCATCCCTTTGCAGAGCCATATAGAACCCTTGTTATAGTACCCCTTTTTGGGACCGTTATAGAAACCCTTGTAGATCCCTTTACCGCAGAGCCCGGGCACTGGGCCTGGGAAGTGGCAGCCTCGGCGGCCGCACGCCGAAGGCCTGGTACATCAGGGGTTAAGGGCTTTTAGGTTAAGGGTTTAGGGGTTTAGGGTTTAGGGCACATTAGGGGTTAAGGGTTTAGGGTTCATTACCCTAAGGCTCCAAGGATACAAATGGTACCTACTTTGGCGTTGAAAGTCTACCAATAGTACCTACTTTGGGCTACTTGGAGTCTTAGGGTTAGGGGTTCAGAAGGTCCAATATATTACGGTTTTCGAACAGAGTCGAGGGTTTTGGGGGTGCTTGCTTCTTCTTCGGCCTTGAGTCTGAAAACGACGCTGGCTGTCAAAAAACATGAGAGGTTCAGGGCTTATAGGGGTTGAGGATTCAGGGCTTCATGGTTGAGGTTTAGGGTTTATGAGGGGTTCAGGGGAGTTACCCAGAAGGTCCAATACACTACGATTCTGGAACACGGTTTGGGGCTTTGGAGGGAAAATACTAACGCATGGAAGTAGGTCCAACAAGACCATCCTTATTATGGTTTTTGGGGAGCTACTTCCACAAGACTCAAAGGAGGCTTATAATGCTTCTGCACGTGTTCGATAGCGAATTGATGGGCTACATGTCTACTTCAGGGGTAATGGGACTTCGTTTGCTGAACAACATCCTGGTTGAAAAATCAACCCTAAACCCTAAATCCTAAACCCTAAACTCATAAAAACAAGATCTACAAACCAAAATGTACTCTCCTCTGGGAGACACCTGTTCGAAATCACCGGAAGTCTCAGCAAAGAAAAAGAATGAAGGGATCCCCCAAGCTAGAACCTGAGCCCGATGAACCCCAAAATCCCTAAACCCTACATCCGTGAACCCGAAACCACAAGCCATGAAGGCATAACGCCTCATGTCACACCTTAAATCCCTAAATTTTAGGGTTCTGGGTTTGGGTTTTTTTTTTTAACTCCCAGAGCCCGAATCCCCGAACGTGACCCCATGTGCCTCTGAGGACCTCGGCTACGGGCCGAGCGCCGTGATACCTCCATCACGGGAAGAAGGGTTCAAGCCCGCTTATGGTTTAGGGTTTAGGCTTTAGGGTTTAGGGTTATATGCAAAAATAACCCCAAGGGTCCGTGTACCCAAATAGTACATACTTTGGCCTTAGAGTAGTCCCTGTATAGGTACTTTGGGGCCAAAGTATATGCCTTTTGGGTGCATGGACCCTTCGGTTTATGGAATAGGGCTTAGGGTTTAGGGTTTAGGGTGTAGGGGATTAGCAGAGGGTCCGGCAGACGGTATGTATAATAGTATACGGAACAAGGTTAAGTTTAATTGTGGTCCGTGTAGAACAAGACACCCTGATCCCTAACTCCTGTGGCCATGGCCTGAAACAGCAATACGAGGAAATCGTCGCGTGTGGCATGCCCTCAGCCCCAAACCCTGGGCCCAAAACCCTGAACCCTAAGTCCCAAACCCTTAACCCTGAACCCTAAATAAACCCTAAGCCCCAAGGCCTTAACCTTGAGCCCAACTACAGTAGAAGCCGAAAAGTTGGAAACCCAATAATTAGCCTCGATCCTTAACAGGAATGTATAGGGAATCCCAGCTTCCAACTTTTGGGGGTTTACTGCAGCCCATGGCAGAACTCCTCGAGCGTAGCTCTTGTACCCGCAACTCCAAATGCAGGGTTTAAGGTTGAGGGTGTAGCGTTCCGGGTTTAGGTTTAGAGTTTAGGGTTCAGGCAATGTGATGGTGATGGGGTTTCGGCTTAAGGCAGGGCTTAGGGTTTAGTGTCACGGTTCAGGGTGTGTACAGTTTAGGGTTACGGTTTATCTAGGACATTTTCAGGTGGGTAGTTACCGTTATAGGAGCCTAAAAGAAGGTCTATATACCTTATAGAAGCCCTAAATATACCCTAAACTCCCCACCTGTAGTTTCCTTTATAAACCCTAAACCCTAAACCCCC